GGGTCAGAGGGACCTGGGCTCAAATCCTGCCTCTGCCGATTTCAGGCTGTGTGACCTTGGGTGGGTTGCTGAATCTCTCTGAGCCTCAGTTTTCTTATGTGTAAAACAAATCTCATACTGGCATCTGCCTCACAGTGTGGGGTAAAGATGGAATGAGATACCTATGTAAATTATTGAGCATAGTACCTGCCACACAAGAAATAATCGATATTGGTGATAATTTATCTTTGGGTATATATCTGATATGCAGTTATCTATTGCTGTGAAACCAATCAATCCTAAGACTTAGTAACTTAGAAGCATTTATTATCATTCATAATTTCTGCGTATAGGGCATTTGGGAGCAGCCTGGTTGGATGGATTTGGCTCAGAATTTCTCTTGCTGCTGTAGTCAGGTGTCTGGGGCTACAGTTATCTGAAGTCCTGACCAGGGCTGAAAGCTCTAATTCCAAGGCGACTCACTCATTGCTGGCTTTTGATCAGGGGCCTCAGTTCTTCTTGGTCTTCACATGATCTGTCCTCAGGGCTGCTTGAGCATCCTCACAACATGGTGGCTGGCTTTCCCCAGAAGGTGTGATCCAAGAGAGCAGGATGGAAACTGTGATGACTTTTATGATCTTCTTTAATCTTCCCAAGGAAGATTCAAGGCTGATTTCCATTGAGGCCCAGAGAAGGAAAGCTATTTGCCTAAGCATTGAATTCCAAATCTGAGTTCTTTCTCCCGCCCCTGCTTTTCATGGATCCAATAAGTATGGTGGCTGGATTCTGCTGCTCCAAAGGGAGGGAGGCTTGCTGGGAAGAGAAACTTTGGGCAGCCAGAGTCTGTATTGCAGCTGGTTGGGGCAGAGCAGTGTACACACTCAACAAGTGAAGCCAGTCAAAACACTCCCCCCCGATGAAGCCAGTAGAAGAAGTGTGTTTGTAAAACTGACGGCATTTTTGTTGACAGGCAAATGTCTATATTACATGGCAACAAATGGCTGGAAGATGCAAAAACGCAGTCAATCATCAGGGATTTTTTTTTCTCTTTAGAAAAGAAAAGCTCTCCCACCCACCAAACAGGATGAGTGATGTTTGCTTTGTGTTTGCAAATCATTCTCTGATTTAGCAGGTTCCTGGGGTGCAGCTGTGGAGACCCAAGGGCAGCCCAAGTCCCTTTGAACCACGCAGGGAAGGGTTTTCGGGGTCTTTTCAGTGACCCAAGTGAGGAAGGGCTGTGCTGGGATGTGCCACTCTTACGGATAGAGAGGGAGCAAGCTCTGGGGTTGAAGCGAACTGGACCTCCGGATCGGGTGTCATCAGCTTGCTTCTTGGCACAGTTTTGGCTCTGGTTTTCTGGTTGACTTTTAGAGCTGCAGTGTTCCTCAAACTCTGCTGTGCTCAGAGCCTCCTAGGAGGGCTGCTGAGAATGCAGATGCCCAGGCCCCAACCCTGGAGATTCTAATTCATAAGGCTAGGGAGGGTGGCCTAGGCACCTGAATTTAGAAAATACCCATCTTCCCCTTCACAGAGATACTAATGCAGGTGGTCCTTAACACTCTTAAAAACTCTCTTAAAAAAACACTTTAAAAAACATGGGATGTGGAAGAAAGACCCTGTGGCCTCTGTTCCCTTGGCCCAGCATATTCCTGGTCATGTCAGGGCCCAGCTGGGCTGTGTCTCCAGGAGGTCATCCCTGATCCCCTCTTTCACACAGTAGGTCACACTTGTAATGACCCTGCTGTGCCTACCCCTCTCTTTTCTTCTGGCTCAGTTTCTCAGAACTACACAAGGGGAGCCTGAGGTCTGAGTCCTCTGCCTGATGTCAGTTCTTCAAATGTAGAAGCCACTAGTCCATTCGTTCATTCATTCTTCATTTGCCAAGTCTGTATTGAGCACCTGCTGCATGCCAGGCATGGAGGGCAGAGCAGTGACTGAGACAGATCTGGTAACCGTTGCCCCCACAAAGTCTAGGTCTAATGAGGGAGAGAGCTTAAACAAGCCAAGACACAACTCTAAAAAATATCTGTAAGTTGTAAGTTTCCCAAGGGAATAAGCATCGATGGAGACCTGACGGGCAGCTACTTTACACTACAGGGCTGGACAGAGAAGGGCTCTGTGAGGATAGGACTTTTGGGTTGAGATCCAAAGATAAGAGGAGGCTGATTACTTGAGAAGTGGGGGAATGTCGTTCCAGGCAGGAGGAACAGTACAGGTGAAGGTCCAGGGGAAGACAAGACCCAGAAGTGTTCGAGACTGAAGAAGACGGCCAGTGTGGCTGGAGTGGAGTGGGTATGGGGAAGAGCATCGTGAGATGGGCAGGAGACAGGCCACACACAGGCTGCAGCAGTGTCTGCGTTTTATTCTGAATCAGATAAGCAGTTGTCGGAGAGTGTTACAAGTTTAGATGTGAAGAGGCTAAGAGGACACCATGTTTTGGGTCAGATCCCTATCCTTTGGCAAGTAAAGTGTTAATGTTTTATCCATTTCCTGGGCAGCTTGCAGTAAATGTGGCCATTACTACTGTTATGACTTAGACCTTAGATGCCACCTCCTTCAGGAAGCCCTCCTTGCTTCTGCTCTGACAGCTTCATATTCACCACCACCAAAACATTCGTGATGGGTACATGAATACAACATGACATACCAATATATCTGCAGAATTGCAGCCAGTGCCCATTTTGCTGAATGGCAGACTCCAAGAGGGCTTAGCCTCATCTTTCATCTGTGTCGTCCAAACACCAAGTGTGGTCTGGCGTAGAGAAGTGCGTGGGTAGCATGGTGGACAATGGTGAAATCAGACTGAGTTCAAATCCTGGTCTACCATTGGCTGGCTGGGAATCCTTGGAAGGCTCCTTAATGCCCATGCCTCAGTTTCCCCTTTATGGGGAGTGAAGAAATAGCAGTCTTTGTCAAGGTCTGTGTTGTGATGAGTAGGATGGCACGTGCCTACAAACCGCACACCACGGCGTTTGGTGCATGGTGAGTGCTGATGGCTGTTGGCTGTGCTTGTCAACCCATGCCCAGAAGATACTTGTTGAATATAGTTTTGGGGGCAGCCCCGCTACTCTCATTGCTCCCACCACCCTGCCCCTGCTCACTCCCACCCTCCCGCGGACAGGAGTTTGGCTCATCAAATCCTTGAGCATTGGATAGGGATGAGGCAGGTTTGATATTTGGTGCAATTTCCAGTTTCTTGGATTTCATGTTTAGCAGGATTGATGGTCCTCAGACGCTTTGGAGATCTGTATGAGGATTTGCGGTGACCTGGGCACTTTATAGTGAAACAGCCAGAAGGAGCCGGGAGAGGACCGGGGGCTGGGGAGCACAAGCCCCCAACTCCCAGGGCTGATTCCCTGGTTAAATTACAGGAGGGAGGATGCTTCCCCTGGGAGGGCATGGGGGCTGTAGGGCATTGTCCCTTGGAGGGGATGTCTGGAGCTTGGGTCACTCCATATCCATCTGTCTGTCCATCTGTCCATTCGTTAGTTAATCATGCACTGAGCATTTCCTGTGTCTGGCACTGAGGACCCAGAAGAGAACAAGGCAGATGCCATCTCTGGCATCATGGAATTGGTGTTCCCTACAGATGGGAAAGGGGCTACTATTTCATGAGCACCTGAGGAGCGCTGGGCATTTCTCTGATGTGATTTTTTGGGCTTGCCACCACTCAAGATTGGCTTTGTTGCCCTGCTTTCCAGATACCAACCCGTGAGGCTCAGAGAGGTGATGTCAGTTGCCCAGGGTCACAGACTCGAGGATGGTCATGCTGGAATTTGGACCCAGCCTGTGTGGCTCCCCCGTCTCCCATCTTTCTGCAAAGGGGAGCTTACCTTCAGCTTGGAGGTTGCTGTTGTGTCCCACCTCTGTAGTGATCGGATTCCTGCCTGAGGGCAATATCCGTGTCTTCTCCATCCTGGTTTCCCACAGACTTCAGCATGTTGCCAAACTGATAGCAAGGGTGAGACATCAGGGCAGCAGAAAGAACCCATTCCAGTGTCTGTCCCCTTTTGGACCCTGGTTAACCCACCTCTTACATGAAGCCTGCCCTGATTGCCCCAACTGTGGGGACGGACCTTCCTTTCCTGTCTGTAACCCTGAGAAGCCCGGACACTTTGAGGCATCATTAGTGCCACCATTGTCCTCCTCCTTCCATTTGCGCCTGCTCCTCTAAGTAGCAAATATTAATTAAGCACCTTCTGGGGTGAACTGTGCAGTGGTTAAGGGCATAATCTCTGGGTTCAGAGTGGCTGGGCTTGAACTCAAGCTCTGTAGTGGCATGATCTCTGCTCACTGCAACCTTTGCCTCCTGGGTTCAGGGGTTCAAGAGATTCTTTTGCCTCAGCCTCCCTAGTAATTGGGACTACAGGTGTGCAGTACCATGCCAGGCTAATTTTTGTATTTTTAGTAGAGATGGGGTTTCACCATGTTGACCAGGCTGGTCTCGAACTCCTGACCTCAAGTAATCTGCCTGCCTCTGCCTCCTAAAGAGCTGGGATTACAGGTGTGAGCCACCACACCCGGCCAGAAGTTTCTTTTACTGTAACTATTAATGGAGTGAATCTGGGACACTTTAGAGCTCACCAGCTTTATAGCCAGGAAGAAAACCGCTCTCCCAAGTAGAACTCCTGATGACTTGCTAAGAGCAGCTTAAGAGCTGTCAGCAATGACTCACTCCTCTTATTTTAACTGCTCACATCAAGCCATCAGATAAGCTTTGGAAGAATACCTATTACATATTTACTACTGAGAAGAGATCAAGACACACGAATAGACAATTCTGTGAAGTGCACATCTGCACCTTCTCTCCTGAGCCCGAGGTGCTTCCCTCCCCAGGGGCTCCACAACATTCTTCAACTTGGAGCGCAAACCTGGGGTTCCTATGAACTTTCACTGGAAGGATCTTGTTAACACCCCCTGCTTATTAGTATTTCTGCCAGGTGTGACCCTCTAAGAAGCTTCATTCATTAGGCAGATGTATCAATAATCCAGATATATATATTTCAGCCTTTTTTTTTTTCTTTAAGGGATAAGCATTTATTCTTTTTAAGACCCTGGAAAACACAGGCTTTGGTGCTGCAGCATTCAGCTTATGCAAAACCTGGTGAGTGCTAAAATTTGCTTCTTTTTGATTTAGTCTCTTGCTAGCTTGAAGGACTGGATTTTATAACAGGTCAATTTCAGACCATTTGATATTGATATATGAAGATCCTTAGGGATTATTGAATGCATTTTTCATCCAGCTGCGATAGTATCATATAAGGAAAATGGGATTGACTGTTAAGTACAAATTGAAAAAGACATGGTCATTTAAGATAACTCCTTATCTGTATACAAGGAAATGGTATCAGGGAAATAGACCACCAGTTGACAGAAATAAATTTCACCTTGGGTTCCTCCTCCACACACCTCCTCGACTGCTGTTCACACTCATCTGGGATTATTCAATTATTCTGGGAGCCCTTTCCTGGGGCCCCTGTTAGAGGATGCATCTGGAAAGAGAAGAACATTCTCTGCTGTTTTATTCTAGAAGGAAGGATTGGATAGGAAGAGCTGGGACCATTCACGGGATAACCCTTCGGGACTTCGCTTTATCCCAGAATATGGCAGGTCTTCCCAGCAGAACCTCTGAGGCTTGCTGTAATAGAACAGGCAGAGAGCCGAGAACAATGATTCCACACCTTTTGTTCATCCACCAGGCTCACTCACGTGGCCTCTGTTGCTCACACTGGGGACAGTCAGCCTGTGTCCTGGGTGATGAGATGAGAATTTCTATCCTTACGCAGTAGAATGATTTTCATAACTCACATCTCTGTGACACATGACAGCTCACACAATCTTTTGGAGTGGCATATACACAAGAATTGTGGATTTGAAGCCCAGTTGGAAAATTTCCCAAGCCCCCACATATTCCCTTTGGTGATGGTTGGGATGGTGGGAACCTTTTCTGGTGCCCTGGAGTGGTAGAGCACCGGCCTCTTTCTGTTCTTGCAGTGCCCCTTCTCCAGTTCTCGAGGTGGTGGAAGAAAAGGGCTGCTGCTTTGACAGGGGCTACTTGTGGACAGGTCAGCTGGGAAGTGTATGCTCTGGGTCTTCCAGAGGACAAGATGGGGTGGTGTCGGCCGTGACCTTGAGGGAAGCAGAGTGCATGCCCCAGCTTGACTCCTTTCACCTTATAGGGGGAGTCAGCATCAGAAATTATCTCCCATTTCATAGAGGAAAGAGCTTTCACAGACCTAAGGAGAATCAGGTGGTCTGAGTCATAAAAGTCAGCCCCCTTAGGCTGACTAAAGGCTACCTCATTATTCCCGAAGACTTACTGTGTGCCAGATGTACCACTTCCAGGAGACTCTGAGGAGGGTATGGTGAAAATTGGACCAGTCTCTTTATACGCACCATGTTTTTAGAACTCACAGCATCATCACTCCCACTTTCTGGATGAGCATCATCAGCTGGGCTGTATGACCCCATTTTCCAACTGAGGAAACTCAGACTCAGAGGTGGGAAGTAACTTGAACAAGTCATACAGATGTTAGTGGGAAATAATTTCAATCTGGGGTTGTTTAACTTTAAAATAACTCATTCATTCACTCATCCACTCATTTTTTCATTCGTGCATTCCCTTACCCCCCTACCCATTCATCTTTCCACCCTTCCTTTCTCCCTTCCTTCCTTCTGTTCATCCATACACCCACCCATTCACCCTACCATCCATCCATCCATCCATCCATTTTTCCTTCCACCCATCCCTTCATCTATCCATCCATCCTCCACTGATTTTTCCTTACTTCTCTCCATCCAACAAACCATCCATCCACCCATCCATCCATTCATTCATCCATCCCCTCATCTATCCATCCATTCATTTTTTCCTTCCTTTTATCCATCCATCAATCCATCCACGAATCATCCATCCACTCATCCATTCATCCATCCAATGTCAATCAAGCATATGCTGGGCAATAACCTTCCTTAATCACTATGAGTGATTTCTTGGGGGATCCGAGGGGACCCCAGGGATTTCCCCAGAACTACCAGATTCTGGGGTTTACCAGAAGCCATCATGACAGGACTCTTGGACCATGTTGGAGACCTTAGTCTAAGCTTTGCTAGGAAGAAGCAGGAGGCAACAAGTCGCAAGGCATCTCCCACCTGGCATAGGGATTGGAGTGTGTATCAGAAGATGCACTTGGAAGATGGTGTGTGGGGGTGGAGAGAGTGGCTGGCATAAGTAGTTCACTTCCCTCCCAGAAACCCACAGGCAAACTCTCTCCACCAGCTATAATTCCAGCTCACCTGTCAGTAGGCTCGGGGCATGGAGCCAATTCTTTCTGAGTCTCATGAATCATAGCACTCAATTCTTTGGTACTAATAAAATGCAGTTGCTCTCAAAGACTTGACTGAATGAACCACAAGTCTATCGAGATCCTCAGGTCTCCTCTCTCTTTCTCTCCCTCTCTCTCGGACTCTTCCCTCAGGCAGGGCCTTAAATGCTGGCTGAAAAGATGTTGTGCCCTTGGGGGGCTGCAGGTCTGATCGGCAGGAGCTGTGGGTGGGGTCCAGGGCTCTGGGTTCAAGACCTACCACCCTCTGGTCCTGACCTAAGGGGATTGTTCCTAGGGTTTCTGAAGTCTCTTCCATCCTGACCCAGCGGGGGCTGACTCTCTCTAATGCAGTGTGGTTAGGGCAGTCTGTAGGCTCCCAAACATGGTCCTTGTATTCTAGGCATTCACAGTCTAGAGGGAAAGAGATGTGTCAGCAGCTATAATTCGCAAGCATAGTGATGCAGGAATATTAAGTGAACCAAAAACTGTTATTAGTTTCCCAATAATAGGTCCTGATTACAGGTCCTACTTGTGGGGAGGCCAGCTAGGAAGTGCATGCTCTGGGTCCTCTAGAGGACATGGCTTGGGGTGGTGTCAGTCACGACCTTGAGGGAAGCAGAGTGCATGCCCCAGCTTGGCTCCTCTCACCCTACCAGGGGAGTCACCATCAGAAATTCTCTCTGACTTCACAGGGGAACGGGCTTTCACAGTTGCTGCTGCAAAAAATGACCACAAAACGTGGCTTAACAGTAACACAGATAACTTTATTTCCAGTTCTGGGGGCCTGAAGACCAGAATCAAGATGCTGGAAGAGCCGTGCTTTGCCCAGAGGGCTCAGGGAGGACGCTCTCTGACCTGTGCCAGCTTTGATGGCTCCAGGCGCTCCTTGGCTTGTGGCCACATCACTCCAGTGCCACCTCTGTCTTTGTGTGGCTTTCTCACGGGGAGCTTCACTGACCTGCTGCCAGGATTAGGCACCTTGTGTACATCATCCCCAGGAATGACTGGAGACAGCTGTGAGCCAGGTGGTGCGGTGCCCACTGCACAGAGGAGGGAGCGAGGCCCATCTCCTGTCCTCACGGGATGCTCAGCTGCAGAAGCCCGGAGCCCCGAGGCAGCCACAGACTCTGGCCAGAGTGAGGTAGGGGCACTGTACGCGTGGCAGGGCCTGTCTGGGAAGACACTGAAGCGTAGGCTCCGGTAAGTCAGGTTATCGCCGAAGAGGAGTCAGAGAGGAGCTCTGGGTGGAGGGTGTGACCCCGAGTTGACCCTCCTCATTTTACAGATGGGGAAACTGAGCCTCAGAGAGAAGAACAATGTGGTCAGGGTCCCACAGCGAGGGTGCAGGGGGCGGAACCAGCGTGGGACCCAAACCTGTCTGACTCCAGTGCTTCTGGGGACTAGGACTCTCTGCGTGTCTCTGTCTCTCGCCCAGGCATGGACCTTCCATAATCATGAGCGAGTGCCAACGTTTGCCAAGTGGCTGCTCTGTGCCTGCCGTGGAGCTGCAAGGTCTAGAGGAGACTCCAGCAGCGGCCTTGATCACAGATGCCATGTGGAGGCCAGAGAGTGGGGAAGCCCCAGGGGACTGTGCAGCGGCCAGAGTGAGTGAGTGTCAGTGGAGAGGCCTTTAAAACCATTCCCAGGGGCAAGGGACAGAGGCAGGAGAGGCCACATGGAGAGGCCCCTGACCACCCAGGCTGGAGCCACCATTGTCACTCATCTGGATTATCGCAGCAGCCTCCTTGCAGGCACTCCTACGTCCATCCCTGCCTCCCAGTAGCCCAACGAGGGACCAAGGCATGAGTGCACATGACGTCATCTGCTGCATGCCTTCCCAGAGCTCCCTCTCACCCACAGTCAGCACCAATGTGTTGGGACACCCACACTTTTCTGCCTTCACCCATCTCCGGGGTCCCGCCCCAACACCTCCACTTCCTCTTGCTGGCTCCCCAGAACTCTCTGCTTCAGACCTTGCATCTGTTCTTCCCCCTGCCATGGCTGTTCCAGGTTCAGACATCTGCAGGGCCGTCTTCCTCCTCTCCTTCCCCATGTGGCCCCACTGCCAGCTTCTCCGCGAGGTCCCCCTGGCAAGCCTCTTAAGTTGCTATCCTGGCCCCAGGACTTCCCATCACCCTTCCCTGCTTTATTCCCTGCTCGATGGCACTCTTCACCTTCCACTATATCCCCTACTTATTTATTACCTTCCTCCCCTCAACTAGAATATAAATTTCATGGAGGCAGAGAGTTCTCTCTGCAGCGTTCACTGCTCAACATCCAGGAGGCTTGGCACCTACGAGGCGTCTAGTGGACCTCAGTCCATCTTCTAAGAATGAACAAATGGGTGTCAATCATAATTTGGGGGGTTTTGGTTAATGATCAAGAAGCCATGTAGGTGAGCGGTTACAGGGACAGACTCAGGGTCAGGTAGACATTAGATCAAATGCCAATGGTGGCACATGTCAGCTGTGTGACCTCAAGCAAGTGACTCAGGTTTGCTGTGCCTTGGTGTTCTCACCTGTTCAATGAGGATACAAGCCTCCCCTGCCTCACGAGGAGCTTGTGAAGATGCCAGTGCACGCAAGGCATGCAGCATGAGGGGAATACAGTAGGCGCTTACTCAGTGACAGACCTTCCTACCACAGGTGGATTGAAGATTCTTGGGATTTCAGCAAAGCGGCTTGGAAGATTGCCTGCTCTTTCTTTCCCTTGCAGGTGGGGAAGCCAAAGCATATTTCAGAGCCTGGGGAGGGTCAGAGTTTTGCTTTTCTTTCTAAGTTAAAAGCCCAAACCCCCCAGGATTCTCCAGGGTGAAGTCGGAGCTTGCAGCCAAGTGTCACTTCAGGGGCAGAATTCTCTACCTTGGGCTGTGTGGAGCAAACCCAACTGGGCCAGAAAGGCAGCTATATCATCAGGGTTCTCCAGAAAAACCAAATCAATAGAAGAGAAAAGCATCATGTATGAATATATAGAGAGATTTTTATATAAAATATATGGATAGAAAGAGATTTATATAATAAACATATCTGAAGAGATTCATTATAAGGTTTTGGCTCATGCGATTATGGAGTCTGAGGACTCCCAGGGGGATCTGCCATCAGCAAGCTGTAGACGGAGGAGGGTCAGTGGTGTAGACCGAAGGTCTGAGAGCCGATGGAATGGATTGTCGGAGTCCAAAGATCTGAGAACCGGGAGCATGAGAGCGAGAAAAAGACCAGTGTCCCAGCCCGAGCCATCATGCCAAGGGAGTTCAACCCTCCTCCCCCTGTGATTCTGTCCAGCCCTACCCATCCGCATGGGGCAGGACCATCTTCTTTACTCAGCCCGCCCATTTCAATGGCAGTCTCTTGCAGAAATGCCTCACAGACACACTCAGAAGCAATGTGTGAAAGATGAGCCCTAATTCCACCCAGCGGCTGGCACATCTGGACCGAGACCACTGGGGCTGACACCCCTGTGGCTGCTGTCATGACTACGTCCTTGGGACACCGCGGAGGATCAAGCCACTGGTAGGCGCTGGGTTGGACCAACAAGCTGGCGAGTTGGGGTTGGTTAGAGGCTGACAAGAGGTTATGTGAATTAACAATACTTTGCAATTTCTGGGATCCATAAAACCTCACCTGCAAGGTCCCAGGTAAACAGGGAAGGTTTCCCCGCTCTGGTCACGTCTTCCTGCTTACTACTGCAGACAGTGAGCAATCCTTTTAAGCACACAGGAGATCGGCTCCTGCCATGCCTTCTCCCTCTCTGGAGAAGGAAAACTAAACTCCTTCCACACTTAGCACCCCCAGACCCCTTAGGATCAGGCCGTTTCCTCCTGTGGGACCCAAGGTCCTGCAACTCTGTCCTCTCCCCCTCCCTTCCAGCGACACCAGCCTTGTCTCTGTGCCACAAGCGTGCTGAGCTTGTCGGGACCTCAGGGCCTTTGCACATCCTCTCCTCTTTTGTGGAAACTCCTTCCCCCAGAACTTGACTAAGATGCACGTTTCCATCCCTCCTGTGGCTTTTTAATAGTAGCCACGCCCACTTGCTTCCTGTCCCTCCCACCCCCGTGACTCCTGGCACCCACTCATCCATTCTCTGTGTCTGTAATTTTGTCATTTTCATTTGTCACTCCATTACATGGAGTGTAAATGGAATCATGCAATGTATAACTTCTTGAGGTTTTGCTTTTTGCACTGGAGTTAATTTTCTATCGATCCATCCAGGTTGTCATGTGTATCAGTGAAGAGTGGACAGGTCTGCCTCCTCCTCAAACCTCCCTCTCCAGAGAAGCCCCCGACACCACTCCTGCTTCATCGTGTTCTTTTTGTTGTGAAATTCCCCTGTTTATGGGGTGACTGGTTTAACATCCAACGCCCCTAGTGGCGAGTGAACTGAGCCTCTTGTATCCATGGGGCCTCTCGGCATGGGTGAAAACGTCCCACCCAGAAGCAGTGCTCAAGAAACAGTTTCTTTGCTGAGTGCATGCTTAGTTGCAGACCTGGATACAGAATCTCAAAGAGGAGAAGGGCTGTGCCTTGTACTCCGCTGGGTGAGTGAGTGGGCGGTAGCGTCTGGAGGAGGAGACAGTGTGCCCGATTTCCCACGTGCTGGGCGCTTCTCCTGTGCCCTGTTCTGGGATTTCCCATAACTCTCTGCCAGTCTCATTGCAGCCCGCCGGGAGGTGGGGCAGCTGGGTTGGAGAGGCGAGGATGTGACTGTGGGCTAAGGTGCTGGAGGAGGGCAGTGCTTGATAGATAGCCACCGAGGGGTTTGGTGTGAGTATGGGTGTGGTGTGGCCCACCCGCATGAAAAGGCTACACAGACGTCAGCACTCCAGGGACCATGCTGTCCCCTCTGCCTTGGCCTGGCACACCTTGTTCACTCCCTTGCAGCCTGCAACCCCCACGGGGCCCGGGTTGTGAGTAGCCACACCAGCTGAAAGTACCAAGAGTTTCTGGCCGTCTGGAGCCCAAACATGTAAGCTAAGAGAACCCAAGGCCGGCACGCCCACCATCTGACACTTCCTGGAACCTGCAGATTTTGGAGCTGGGGAATACCCTGGAGACCCTGGATCTGGTGGGTCACCAAACTGCCGGTGCCCCTGGAAGACAGAGTGGGGCTGCGGGCCAGGGATTCAGTCCACCAGGAGCATGTTCATGTACACCAGGCACACATGTGGGCCGCATGATGTTCTATTTGTACAATGGGCTCTGTGGTTTTTATTTTTATTTTTAAATAAACCTTTTTGTTTTGAGATAATCGTAGATTTGCATGCTGTTTTAAGAAACAATACAGCAAAACCATGTATCCTTTACCTAGTTTTCCCCAGTGATAACATCTTGCAAAACTTGTAGTCTCATGTCCCAACCTGGATATTGACGATACCGTTCAGATAGGAAACATTTCCATCCCTGCTGTGGCCCTTTTCTAGTAGCCACGCCCACTTATCTCCCGCCCTCACCACCTCCCTAACTCCTGGCAACCGCTAATCCGTTCTCCGTGTCTGTAATTTTGTCATTTTCACAATGGAATGTAAATGGAATCACGCAGCATGTAACTTCTCTGGGTTTCACTTTTTTGGATTGGAAGTAATTTCCCTTCGATCCATCCAGCTTGCCGTGCGTATCAATAGTCGTTCCTTATTACCACTGAGTCATATCCCACGCTGTAGCTGTGCCACTGTTTGCTAACCCACTCACCTGTTGAAGGACACCTGGGTGGCTTCCAGTTTTGGGCTATTATGAATAAAGCTGCTATAAACGTTCATGTACAGGTTTTTATGTGAACATAAGTCTTCATTTCTCTGGGATCAATGCCCAGGAGTGCAATTGCTGGGTTTCGTGGTGGAATATTTACTTTTTAAAGAAACTGCCAACTGATCTTACTGCGCAGTGTAAGAGGGAGCCAGTTTCCCTGCGTCCTCACTGGCATTTGGTGTTGCCACTGTTTTTTTATTTCAGCTATTCTGACGGGGGCATGGCAATAGCTCATTATGGTTTAAACGTCCACTTCTCTAACGGGTCTTCATTTTTTTTTTTAATGTTTTAAATCACAATTGGGTCCCACTGGCCCATTTCACAGATGAGAGAAACTGAGATCCAGAGATTGCAATAAACGTGCGGAGCTGCAGCTGGATCTCTCGGTTTTCACCCTGATCATGGGCCATTTGGAGAAGAGAGAGATTTTTAAAAAGCTCTTTAAAAGCATGCGTACGTTTACATGGAGGTGTGGAAAGCATCATTTTGGTATTTTAATGGAGGCGGGTTTGCTTTCTGTGATGTCCTATCACTCTGTATTCTTGTCCACTTGGAGAGCTGGCTTCAAGCTGTCTCTGAGGGATGTATCGTCACCACACAACATTGCTGGATGACCATCGGCCTGTACCATGTGGACACCTCTTTATAGATCTAGAGACTTGTGAGCCGCCATGGGTGTGGTGGTAGAGTCCGGCCAGCGAGTGGGGCCTGCCTGACACTGACCCCCGCCAAGTGGACAGAGGCGCGCTGCCTCTTGATGCTGAGGGGAGTCACTAATCTCTGCCCTGAGAGGGACATGGCCACCAGCGAGGCTGAAGGCTATAGCCGGCCTGGGAGCCACAGGTCAGGGTTTAAGCCCCACAGCGGTGCCCTTCTCCCTCTGCGGGGCCCCTTGCCCTCTGTCTCCAACGCTGCCACTATCCATTCCTCACAAAGCTTCGTCTCTCCTCCTTGGCCTCTTAGATCTGTTGTGTGTCTTATTTTATCTCATTTTATTTTTGGAGAAAGGCAAATTCGTGAGACCCAGGAAGGGGGGAACACAGCATCTGTGAAGGAAGGGCTTCTAGAAAAAGACGACACACACACACACACACACACACACACACACACACACACACACAATTTTTAAAAGCATGGTAATAAATGCTATTCAAAAAAAAAAAAAAAAAGAAAAAAAAATAGAGAAAAACCCACCCCACAATCTCTGAAAAACACAGCCCATTGAAATGACAAGCCGAAAATCATTTGCTAAGCGCCAAAACCGTTCCCTTTGTCACCCAAATCCTTCTGTTGACAGTTACCTTTCAATCCCGCAATTGTGTGGCAAGGGCTGATTTTTATTCAACGTTCTATTCACCCTGCGTATTAATGAAAAGGGGGGAGGGAAAAAAACTTGTAAGAATGGTGTTTAATAGGCTGATAGACAAGCCGTCTGGATTCCCCAGCCAGCCCCCTCTTATCAGTGGCTCACAGTGGGGCTGACGCTGTCTCTCTGTCCTGGCTCAAGTTGCCTCACCCGCTCTGTCTCGGCCCCTGCAATAGAAACTCTGGGATGGATGGATTGATTTTCTTTATATATATATGGTTTGATGATCTTTTCTTTTTACTAGGGAGGAAGGGACACACATAGGTCATGATTTGATCCCACGATTCAGACACGTACCCAACGTTTATGGAGTGCCTACTGTGTGCCAAGGGTCTCTGCTGGGCGCTGGGATTGGGCATTAAACTTTGAACTGGCAGGTAGATCAGCAAGCCAGGTTGGTCCAGGTGTCAGGAGAGGTCATGTTGGGCCCCGCTGATGTGGGAGACTATGAACCCCAAATCATGTCCCAAGACAGAGGGGTCCGGAAAGGGTCTGGGCCATCTTTGCATGGATGGGTTGTATTTCAGCATCAGAGGAGGCTGCCCAGGGTTTGGAACTCGCCTCTCTTTGTGCCTGGTGGGAGGCAGGGGGCTGGACGACGTCAGCTCCCCAGTCAGTTCTGTTCAGAGACTGTGTGGCATCTTGAGGCTGGATCTCACCTCTGCCATTTCCTTCCTGGTGAGTTGGTTCACCTCTCTGAACCGCAGCCCCTTGGCTGTCCTGCAGGGTGGTAACATCATTGTGGTAGCATAGCAGGGAGGAAAGAGGGAGATTCTGCAAGCTGAGGTCTCTGGCCCATTCTCCTTCTCTCCCTCTTTTACCTTCTCTCTATTTTCTGTCATCGATTCTAGAACTCCATAAGGGTGCAGTGCTGGGGCCGGGTGGAGGGATAGCTCAGGGAAGCAGAGAGGAGAGCAGCCTAGAGGATGTGTTTGTGACGGCGAAACTGACTCCCTGGCTGGGTGATGAGCTCCCCGCCATCTGAGGGCTATAAGCAGAAGCCAAAGCCAATGCCAGTCTGGTGGGGATGTTCCAGACATGCGATGTGGGCTGAGGAACCCCTACCAGCCAGGCAGCCAGCCCTCTTCCGGTCCTGCGTTGTCCCCTACACAACCTACTCCATCCCTAGACCCTAGGGCAGTTGGCCTCGTTTGGCTTCCCTCCCACGGGCTGCATACCTGGGAGGCATCCTTGAATCTTCTCCTACCCTCCACCCCACACTCGACTTCGGCAAACTTTGTCTTTAAGCATCTCAGACAGCGCAGTGACTTGCGCCTGTAATCCCTGCACTTTGGGGGGCCTGGGTGGGCAGATCACTTGAGGTCAGGAGCTTGAGATCAGGCTGGCCAACATGGTGAAAGCCCATCTCTACTAAAAATGTGAAATCAGCTGGGCGTGGTGGTGGGTACCTGCAGTCAGAGCTACTCGGGAGGCTGAGGCAGGAGAATCACTTGAACCTGGGAGGTGGATGTTGCAGTGAGCCAAGGTCGCACCATTGGACTCCAGCCTGGGCAACAAGAGTGAGACTCCAACTCAAAACGAAAAAAACGAAAAACAAACAAAACACACACACACCACATTTCAAGGCCACAGCTCTCACCTCCTCCCTGCGCCTTTTGCCTGGCACCTGCAGTGGCCCCTCTCTGGCTGCCTGCTTCTTCCTTGGGCCCTTCGGTTCTTCCTCTTCACAAAGCAGAGGGAAGCCTTGAGTCCATGTGTTGGATCTCCCCCATCTGCTCAAAACTTTCCATTGACCCTTATCTCGATGCCCTCATAACCTGGCCCCTGTTACCGCAACTGCTGCCCATTTCCCTCCTGTTTGCTCCATTCACACCTCCCGGAACTTTTGCTGTCCCTTGAATATACCAACTGTATTCCGTTTGCACTGGCTGTTCCCTCTGCCAGGAATGCCCTTCCCCCAGTGTCCTCGCAGGGCTGGCCCCATCTCCATTTAGGTTTCTGCTTTAAATACCACCTCTGAGAAGTCTTCCCTGATTGCCCATCTGTCACTACCTAACCCCCCTTTCAGCTTTAACTTCCTTCTCTGCACGAATCACTGCTTTCTACTACATCAAGTATTTGTTTAATGGATTGTTGTGTGCCCCTCACGCTGGCCCGTGAGCTCCTGAAATCAGGCATTGTGTCCCGAGGTGCATAAATGAGTTCATGCCTGACCTTCAGGCCTGCGATGGGGCCGTCCTTGCATCTCATCCTGGGGCTTGTGTCCACTGACCTCCTGATTCAGAGCCTTGGGGTGATCCCATTATTGCCCCCCCATCTAAAAAACAACATGAGCTGGGCAGCATTGATGAGTAACAGCCACCTCTCATCCTGACCGCTCGTTCAGTCACTCAGCAAACATTTATTGTCCTATGCCGGGCAAGGTGTGAGTGTTTGGGACCCAGCTTTGGGATAAAATGGGCACAGAGCTGACATTTTAAGTGGGGAGATTGAGGTTAAAGTAAAACATATACATAATGGTGTCAGTGTTTACGAAGAAATATAGGACAGGGTAAGGGAATGGGAGTGATACTGTTGTCAAGGGGGCAACCAGGGAGGACTTTCTGAAGGAGGCAACCAGAGCAGTCTTGAATGTAGTGCTGCTGAGGGAGGCAGGTTGGTGGGGGGACTGGTGAGGCAAGGCAAGCAGATGTCAGTTAGAAAAGGGCCTCACAGGCCCAGGGAGGATTGTAGGCTTGGTCTTTGGTGCTGCAGGGATATGTGTGGAGGAAAGGAGGTAGCACAGTGACAAGTTTGGGTGCTGAGTGAATGAAAGAATGAATGAATGAGTGAATTGTGAGTGAGCACCCTACCCACACCGTGGCCTGCTGGAGTTTGATGCCCTGCCCTCTCTTATTCCTTTCCCTCAACATCAGCCCCACCTGTCAGGTGTCCGTTTTTGAAAACACCACCTGCACCACCTTGGCCCCTCAGCCTTCTCTTGGTGCCTCAGCTCCACAGCTGGGATGAGTTCAGCCTTAACCATGAGCGTTTTTAGTGAGCAAAGCAAGAAACCACCCCCCGCCCCGCAACCCACCCCCCCAACCAACCAGCAGGCACACAGTGAGGTTCCCGTCCCCTGGCCTCCTTCCTTGGGATGGAGCGAGCATCCAGACGGTCATTTGTGTTCTGGGTTCTGCTTGGCCTCCTCCTCTCCCCGCCCTCTGCTGTGATTGCTGACAATGCAGATTTTAATATATTCACACTGGCAGAGCTATTTGCATTCAGATACAATTATGAGGCAAGAAACGGCTTCCTTAGAGTGAGCCCCAGAAATGGGGGAAGGATTTGCTCCACTCTTACAGGATGGTGGCTCTGAGGCTGGACAGAGTGGTCCTAACTGGGCTGAGCCCTGTATCCCTGCTTTCCAGAGGAAATATTCCAATGGGTCCAGCACCCTTCCCACCCCAACCTTGAGCTTGCTTGGATCTGGCTTATTCCTGGGGTAGGAAGAAGTGTTTGTGTGGGTAGAGGTGGGGGCAGGGCAGTGTTTTCTAAACTTCTGTGTCAGGCACTGTGCATGTCTCTTTCTCTGGGCCCTCAGGATCCACACACAGGAACAAGTTAACTACTAAATAAACAAGATAATGGCACATTGGGTCTGGGC